ATGATTTAATCTACTTACTAGATTTTTATAACGCTGATGTTTTGTCTCCAGTTGCTCGTTTTCAATTTGAAGGCTTTTCGCATTATTACTGCTGAATCTACGGAAATCTCGATCGTGTCCCTCAAATATTTATTTTCTTTTTTCAGGTCTCGGTTCTGTGCCCTGAACATCTTCTGGCTATTTCGCAGAATTTCAATTGTAGCCAATAAAAAATCGTTTTCTTGCATTGCGGTTGGTTGAATTTCCACAACAAATAAATCTTTCCCTGCCATTGTTATTTCTCTCTGATCTAAAGCTGCAAATGAATCTCTCTGAGGAATCTGGGAATATAGAGACAGGCACCAGTGATGTCACAGACAGGATGAGTGACATCACAGTTTCACTTCAAAGCTACAAGACCTCTGTTGCATGAGGGGGGTTTAAGGGGGGGGCGGATGTTTTTTAAACTTTATTCGCAGATACATTGTGTGACGACAGAGTGAAACATTTATTATGCCTCAAGAAAAACCAAAATAGATAAATACAGATAAACTGTAGCTGATAACAGGAAACCGGAAAACATAGCACGTCTTCCGGTTCATAATATAAATTTATTTTCATAAATTTATGTTATGAAAATACCACAATTTTCTGTTTATTCCATCAATATTTAACACAAAAATGTTTATATGTGCTTTAAAAACGTAGCACTTCACGTTATGGGAAGACGGTCGGCCATTTTGATTTTTAAAATAATGGCCGCTCATCCATCAATCGATAAGGTGGATCGATAAGAGCTGTCGACTTTAATCAATAACTTCCATCCGAACTGCTGCGAACTGAAACGACTCACATAAACTTTTCTCTTTGATTCCGCCAGGCGACAGCGACAGCACAGCGGTGATCGCGGCCTGTTGTTGGGGTCTCCTTTACGGAACCAACGGGGTCCCTGAAGGCAACTACAGCAACCTGGAGTACCGGGACCGCCTGGAGCGCTGCGCCGAACAGCTCTACTCTCTCTCACACTGAAACAGCAGCAGAAACCGGGCCGACGAACCGGCGAGCTCCCATCGACCCACAAAGTGTTTTCGTTTTAGCCTGAAGGGAAAAGACTGGCCCAGTGGCGCCGAGTCGTTTTCCTCGTGGGGGACAACAGCCTGGCTGGTGTTTAGAGCGCTCCCCCTGGTGGCCATTCCTGAGATGACAGTGGAGGCAATTACCTCATTTAGTCTGCCTGAAATAAAAGTGATCAAAAATGCAACGACTAATTATTAGTGTAACTATATCACTTTAGTAACTGATTAAGCAATTATTCTAATGATTAATCTATTGATCTGAATGAATAAATTGCAAGATGTGTCATTTTTTTAACCACTTAAGCCTTTCATACGATATTAGAAACATATTAAGAGGCAAATAAATGCAGTTCCTTTTTAAAACGTATATATATATATTTTGCCTTAAATGCAATAACGTGGCATTCTTTTAGTGAACAGATGCATCTGCAGATGAAAAAAATAAATCAAAAGTCCCACTTGATTTATCAATATTGTTTTGGAGTTGATTATTTTAACAGATTATTTTTTGAATTAAAATATTTTTAGCAGAATTTTAACCGGATAAAGCTAAAATTGTCACTTGAACAGTACTGGGTACAATTTATTTTCAAAGTTTCTTTTAAAAGTTACATGCCAAATTAATACATTTGTTGCATTTTTTTGGTTTAAACACGATTATGAATGTTTTCAGCAAAATGGCCTTTTTTGAGTCTACCAGTTATCGATTAATCGCTTAAAATTTAACATCAATTGGATTACTTATGATAAATGCAAGTAAATACAATAAATCACTCACAATCAAGCCAAATGTTCATAATTAAACATATTTGCAACTAATCTGTTTCGAGGAACATTTGCACCATCGCAGTAGAAAGTAAAATAAAAACAAATGCCGGTAGTTGAGTAGAGAACTTTATTTTTTAGTCATTGTTTTTAAACTTTTTTTTGTCTTCTCCATTTTTTTATTAATTATATTTTCCTACAGGAGAGAAGAAGGGCAAAGGGGATTTTCACTACTGGATTGAGTTTAAAAAATTTTTTTGCTAAAAGTCCCCTCACATCTTCTCCTCCTTCCTCTGTCATGCTCTCAATCTTTTACGTCAGTCCGTTTCCCGTTTGTGTCGTGGTAAATACAAAACCTCACAATGCTTAAAAACATTTCTGGAAGAGAAAAAAAAAACCGTCTGCTGCCGCCCCCGCCCCCACCCGTTTCTGATTCTCTCCCAGGTCCAGGACAACAGAAACAAAACAAAAAGCGGGGAAGAAGGTGGAGGGAAGCGGTTGTCCTCTCATCTTCATCGTCACCAGTAATAAAAATGTCAACGTTCTCGCCGATGAACATCACAGCAGAAGAGTAAGGTGCCGTGAGAAATTTGTGTCGTCGTCTCTCCTCTGTGATTCTGTCAGTTCTGGGTTGTTCTGTCCTGGACCGCAGGTCCAGCAGGAAGTGGGGGAGGGGGGACGGAGGCGTCTAGTTTCCAGGTGGATGGAAGGGTGCAGGGTGTGTTTGTACCTGCATCGCTGCGGAGGAGAACAACACAAACCGTTAAGATCGCTGACATCAAATCATCGCCATCATGGAAATTCATGTAAAAAGAGATTTTCTCAGTTTCAAAACTCAAAAACTCTCAACTTTAGAAACTCTGAAAATTCCAAGTATTTTTCTGGAAAATTTATGAGATTCATTTAAAAAGAATTCAAAAATATTTTAGACTTTTCACTCCTGAAAAATGTCTTGTAAATTTCAGAAAATATCTGACAATCTCAAAAATTTGAGTTTTTGATGAATTGTAGATACAGAAAAAGTAAATTTCACCCAAAAACCTGAATTTCTGAATTTTTTTAATCTACAACCTAATACTAAACTAATACTCATGCTAAACTAACTTCATTGAATATTTTACAACTTTATGCTCTCTTGGAAAATACAGTGTGTTTTTCTGATATTTATTGTGACAATTTTTAACTTTTGAATCTTTAATTTCTGTGACTAAATTAAACAATTCTGAATTTTCAGGTGAAAATCTTTCCTTTTCTGACTACAATGTCAGAATGAACTGACTTCATTTCATCAGATTTTTGAATTTACTGATATTTTTGATGCTCTTGTGGAAAAAACAGGAGAAAATAGAAAAGAATAAAAATTGAGTGAGTCTTTTTTTTAACACTGAACAAAATGTATTGATGAATATTAAAGTTTCTGAGTTTTTAATGCATCATGCTGAGTGGAGTTAGTGGCGGCTGCAGTTCATCTGAGTTGCTACCTGGTGGATGTCCTATGTAAAAGTGCTGGTGCGGTCCTTGCTGCGGCCCGTGCTGCGGGTGCTGCGGCACGCCGCCCGGTCCCTGCTGAGGCGTCTGCAGCATTACAAGCTGCGGCTGGCCGTGGCTGCCTGAGTGGTGAGGACCCGGCATCCCTCCTTGAACGTGAGCCTGATGGGAGCCAATGAGAGCTTAGATCCCGTCCAGGTGGAGCGGCGCTCAGGCAAGAGGCAGAGGCGTACCTGCGTCAGCTGGCCCAGCGTGTAGGCGGGCGGGAGGCCCTGGTGGCTGTGGATGCTGTAGCCCTGAATGGGGTAGGAGCCCTGCGGGGAGGTGTGACCCGGCGGCATGTTGGGCGGAGTGGGAGCCGACAGCGGACCTGAGTGGTACAAGGACTGAGGCTGCGGGCCGGACTGGGCGTTCTGCAACGAGACGCAGCCAGAAAACCTGAACCCGGGAATCTGAAGACGAGATCGCCACTCAGGATTCAACACTTCTGTCAGCATGACGGCGCCAGCGTTTAAATATATCGACTTGAATGAACGAGTTATTAACACTGACAGACAGACAGTGGTTAGAGCAGCTGGGAAACAGAAAATACATTTCTGGAACAATTTAAAGAACAAAAAAACAAAATTCACAATAAATTCACAGAAAATTTTTCAGGATTAGAACCTGCAAAATAAAGGACAAAAAACCCAAAACAGGATGAAAAAAGAAACAAATGACAGATGCAAGAAAGGATGAACGAAAAGATAAAAGAGGGGAAAAAAATGAAGATAAAGAGCAAAGACAATGTAAATATGGAAATGACGGACAAAAAGGAAAAGACGAATGAAAGAAAAAGAGCATAAGGATGGACAGAACAAGGACAAAAGAAAGAACTAAATGACAAATTGAAAGACGGACAATAGAACCAGATGATGGAAAGAAAGAAAAACTAAAAGGTCAGAGACAAAAACAACAAAACAACAAAAGAAAATATAAAAGGAAGAGAAAAAAAATGAAAGGGCAGATAAAGTCACAAAGGGATGGAAGAAAAATAAGCCAAGAAAGTGAAAAATGAGGTAAAAAGGAAAATAAAGACGCGTCTCTTCTCTAAAGTCTCGTTTCAACGCTGCAACTTTTCTCTCCTACTTTTCCAAAAACTTTTTTCCCGGCTTGGAAAATGACTCCAGTGAAATTCAGAATATAAATATCTAATTAATTTAGCAGCATGTTTAAAGTCAGAATCTCATGCAAAAGGTTTGTGGGTGTGGTACCTGCCCAGGGCTGGGAGCGGCGTGCTGCGGGGGCGGCTGGTTGCCGGTCGGCGTGCTGGAAGGCTGCGGCTGATGGACGGCGCCCGAGTGATGGGAAAAGGACTGCGGCGCTGCGCACAGAAAGGACATCGCTTCTCTTTAAAGAACCTGAACAGCTCGACGTTTGTTACAAAGAACATTTACTCAAGTAAGAGTAAGAAATTAAAAAGTATTTGGTAAAAGTTTTACTCAAGAACTTGATTAAATCACGGTTTTAATTTAATAGACTTGTTTTTGTTTGTTTCATAAAGCATCTAAAGGTTTGGTGTTTTAGTTTGGTTCTATTTTGTGAAAAAAATATGTTGATGGGGAACAAAAGTTCCTCTGCCTGCTGCTGACGTCCTGCCTTCAGCACCCTGCCCCACTCACCATAGATGCCCTGCTGGGGCCCCTGGGGGCCCTCGCCCTGCGCAGGGAACTGCGGCCCTCCGGGCGGGCCGAGGGCCTGGGGGTGAGGCCCGCTGCCCTGACCTATCATCCTCGCTCCGCCCTGCAGCATGGGGTACATGGGCTGTGGAGAAGAAGCAAACGTGTTCAGGCCGTTAGGTGAGGGAGATCGAAGGCCTTTAGGTGGCGCCGTACCTGTCCGGGGTACGGCGTCATGGCCTGGATGACCTGCTGCTGGCTGTACTGCTGCGGGTTGTACTGAAGGTACGACTGCGGGTACGGAGACGCCACCAGAGGGGCTCCAGCTGCTGATGCAGCAGCTTGCAGCATTTGCGATGTTTCTGGCCGCGTCGGCACTGGAGAGGAGAGAATGCTGGGATAAATCTCAACAACGTCTTTGCACACCTGATAGTCCGGTCTACAATCAAACCGAGTCGACAGCAGCGGCAAGAGTTGTGAATATTTTCAGCTGGTGGGGTTTGTTTCCACTCTGAACTGAGCCAAACAACCAGTTTGGTGCATCAACATCTCAAACTAGAGTTTGATCAAACTGGGCTAAATGGGGCAAGAAAATATGATAATTTCCTGATCTTAAAATGAAAATGTGGCAAAAACAACAACATATTCATAGTTACCTTTGCCCCGGGGGTATTTTCCTTGGTTAACTGTTGACATTGGATACTGGTACATTTGTGGAGCCTGAAGGAAAGGAAAACAGGTAAATGAAAACTAAATTTTACTATTTTCACAATAAATTCCCAAACATTTGTTCCATAAATTGCATCATGTGCTTAAAAGTTGTGTTAATTTTCAACAAATGAAATCAAATTTGCATTCTTACCCCAAAAATGCATAAAAATGTTTTTAGACAAGAAACTATAAATCTGTTTAATAGTTGTCACTGTGCCGCCATGCTTCTGCCTGCGTACCTGCACAGGGTGAATCTGTGAAACGTAGGAGAGGTAGGGAGGATTGTAGAGCGGCGCCTGCCCACCAGGGTGCTGCAGGACCACCGGGCTGGGAGGAGTTGGACGAGGCGGGGTTGGTGCGGTGTTGGGTTTTGTCTGGAATAAAACAAATAATCAGGTGAACGGATCACTTTTTAAATTTCTTCACGAATGTGAAGAAAGTCGGGGACTTGAAATAAAAAGTAAAATATAAGCATAAAGGGAAACTTCACATTCGTAAAACTGATCGAAATAATCATCAATTTAGTAATTGATTAATTGTTTTTGTACAGTTTTGGCTAAATT